AACATTAAACCAAGAGGGAGCACAAACAGAAGGTGCTGCTTTGCCTCACGTGGTCTTCAGAAAGAGGGATATAGCTTATTGGGATACCACGAGTTTACTTTGTGGACAACACCAGCAACTGCCGGTGCCAGTGGTGTGTCAGAACCTGCCTCCATCCTGTGCCTGGCCTGCCTAGTTTGCAGCCCCCCTCTGAGGTCATCCTCCTTCCTTCTGCAATCACCACAGGTTCTCCAGGACAAGGGTTGTTTAATATACACTAGTGTCATTTCGATGTTTCTGGATGCTACACCTGTGAAATCAGAATAGCAATGAGTAGTTGTTTTCAGACTTGAGATTTGTCCTATCGTTTTAAATAATAATAATGGGACATCATCAAAACTGGAAGCATCAAATGCCCAGATATTGGGAGCAGAAGGGAGAGCATCCTAGTACATGCATACCCATGACTTGCTGTCATCGTAAAATGCTTGGATATTTCAGCAGCACACAGCTCAGACCAGCAGCCAGATGGAGGTACAATGCAGAGCCAACCCTTTCCTGAGCAGCACATTGCCTTTTGCAAACAGCCGTAAATACTTCTCACCCACAGAAGTAAGTGAAACACATTTGGAAACAAAGGGTGATGGTGGTCACCTAGCGGGGGACAGCATTATCCCAGGTGAGCCTCCTCTGGAAGCACAGCAGGGATCATTACACAATTTGCTTGTCCCTATTTAAGCCTCCCCACCTCTACCAGGAGCCCAGCTGACCTGCTGCTGCCTGCTGGGTAAGCACAAATACAACAGACTCGTTACCCTGAGCTAAGGCACTGCAGGTCACTGTGCCTCCCTAGAAGTGAAATGACAGAAGAGAAACATTTTCCTGTTTCCTGAGAGCAGCAGCCATTCTGCACATCCATAAAGCAGAGCTCTGAGTTATTTGCCCTATACAATAAATAGCCACCCCTAACTAGCTACCAGCTTAACACTAGCAAAGATGCTCTATTCTTTCTTCGGTCCTATTTTTAAGCAGTTACATAAGGAGAAAAGACACAAGGGACTTAAATCTGTGGGAAGTCTTCACGACAGAACACATTCCTTCCACCTGCATTTTGCAGATAACACTCTAAATTTACTTTAAAAAAGAAAAAAAAATAAAAAACTTACTCCCATTCATTTTTCTGCTGTGCTACTCAGGCAGTGAATGAGGCATCAGCAGAGACCAGGCAGAGCTGCAGATACCTCCCACAGGTGGCTAGAGCATCCTCCAGCAAAGGTCTCTCTCCAACAGCTGCCCTCCAGCTCACACCTGCACCTCTGCATCCTTCTCTTAAGCAACCAAGTGCTTCCTCCTGGTCTTGCTTTGGAGTGCTGAGCCCTTAGGTGATACACATCACATTTGAATTGTCTCCATTATCAGCCTGGCTACTTCTAATAGATGCTTGATTTTTATTTTTATTTCCAAGTCACAGAGCAGTCAGATTGGCAGCAGCAGCCAAGTAACAGTCCCCAAAAGTTTAGTGGTAAATGGGCACAGAGGAGGTAATTAAACCAAAGGGAGTCCCTGCAGAATGGAGACATGCCGGAGAACCAGGCAGCCCATCAAAACAGCGGCCATCAGCCAAAGACTTGTCCAGGGGAGAAGAGAAAAGGCTCTGAATCTTTTACAGGAAAGCCACGTGCAGCTGTAAGGAAGGGCAGCTGCCCTCCTCAGGAGGCATTTTAATCGGGGAGAACTTTGTTGGCTTTTTCCCCACAATCTCTGTACTCTATGATAGCGCTTTGCTGTATTTTCACCTGAGACAAGGCTGATCTCCGGGCCAACAACCAGTGCCAGGACGTGACACCCCGCAGAGACACTGACTAACTGTTTGCCAGGGCCCTTTCACACCTCCCTGGGAAGCAGCTGGTGCCACCCACGCCTGAGAAAGGCTCCCAGAGGGGATGAATCACTAGTTTGATTAAGTCTGGCAATTCCTAATGTGTTGGACCACAGCAGAGACATGCTCTGGATCCAGAAGATGAACAGCAAAGGCTGGGCACGGAGCTTGGGCTACATCACACCAGAGGTTTGCAGGGAGCAGTCAGCTTGTGCCTTGCTGTCCCGGTCAGCAGTAGGGCATGCCAAAAGGTGTCTGACCAGAGACGTCTCCCAGATGAGTAAGAAGGTGACAGTCCCCTGCAGGGTGGCCCCAGGACCATCCTACCCCTGCTGCCACAAACAAAAGCTGGGAAGTAACTGAGCAGAACTGTGCATGGTGGGACTGCATCTCCTCAACACTGCCAACCCAAGGCTGGGTCTGGAGACCCCAAACCTGCACTGCCCAAACTTCCCTCCATGCTGCTGCAGCACCTGAAACTCTCACAGCAGCTGAGCTTGGTGGCAAGGCAAAGGACTGGCATGGGGTTGGCCCTGATGCTGTGCAAGGGATTAAATAAACGCATAAGTACTGTGCTGGGAAAGGCCTCGAGTACTGTTCTCTGCACCTCCCCATACGGTGTTAAGCCCAAACTCCATGCAACTGAATCTTCTCTGAACAAAGCCCTAAATAAATAAATCAATCATTCTCCAGCGTGCCCCTGTGCGCTATCTGTCACTGCCTGCTGAGCTGCCATTTCCACTTCCCCTGGCCTCTCCCTCATAGGCTCTTATTGACATTTAATGGTGATGGGTGCAGGTGGCTGTCCTAGGGCTCCGCAGCCCAGCAGGCAGCACCCCGCAGCACTGCGCACCATCAGCAGCCCCCAGCCACGGGGCTGCAAGCTGTGCTAATGACCACGACAAATCACTGACGATGCTCAGCTGGTTTGTACCAAGCTGCTCCGATGCTCCTGGGTGATACAAGAGGTGCTGTGTCAGCTAAAGGGAAACATCAGTCATCCTTCATCCCCGTACACCAACCAAACTCTTTGTCCCCACATCCCCTGCCTGCACTGCAGCTGGGAAAGGCAGGACTGCTGCGACCACCTACCTGAGCTGAACTGAGAAGGGGGAAATAAAAAAGAATGCTTCTCCCTGTGCAAAGGGACACAGAGGTACATCTATAGGGACCAAGCCACCCTTGTAGCCCAACTTCATCCACAACCTGTGGGTTGCAGACAACTCCTATAAAGAATTAAGCCACATGCATGGAAGTGTCATCATTTTCCCATCTTTTCCATACATGAATTTCAATGCGCATTACCAGTGCAGAGACCTCAGCATCCAGTCACATTCTGGGTCTATGAGTGTTTCCAAGACAGAGAGGAGAGCAAAGCCCTTCACCAGAGAGAGAGAGAAATATTTGGCCAAGCTCCCAGTATTTCACTGGACACAGCAAGGAACAACCCAGGGAGATCTGTTTTGTGGCTTTTTTTCTAATGAGGTCAGGCCATGAGGTATTTTAGCTAGATTAAGGGTCTGCGATCACATGCCTGGGCTTTGGTGTTCATGAGCTGCTGTCTGCTGTGCGGGGCCTGAGGCCAAATCACTCATTGCTGTACCAGAGCTTCACCTCTTGTGCAATTAGCTGAAATTTTCTGGAACAGTACGGATGGCCTCTGCAGCTGGAGGTCTTTACACATGGTGTAAAGTGGAGCTGGGCTCTGAGGGGCTGGGTGAGGGGTTCCCACCACTTTGGGCTGCCCAAGGACCTGGGACCACAAGGACCTAGGAGCCTCCAAGAGGATTTCAGTGCTGAGCGAGCACCCCAGGGAGGGAAATCACCCCCAGAAGGAGGGGAGGCTGACAAGGGAGGGCTAGGGTTCTCTTCACCCTGCTCTAGGAAGGTTTCTGCCCCAGGATGAGCCCTGGGGAGAAGCATGAAGGAAACACAAACCCATAGTATTCAAGAGGGAGAAGGGAAGAGAATGCCTGAGCTTCGTCCCAAAATTGGGGTGAGAGGCATCCTCTGAGGAAGGATTTAAAAGAGACAAACTGCAAACACCCAAGAGTAATTTCAGCTCCCATCAGTCTGCACAGTCTGAGAGGGCATCGGCTCTGCTAAAATCCCTGGGAGAAGCAAACTGGGGAGGGGCACAAAGAGAACTGCTGGTGAAAAAGGCACACCGCAGACAAGGTGTGAAGACCTGCACGGCCCTAAAAGCAGCTCTCGTCTTCTTCCCTCAGCCCGCTCTCCCTGCAAAAAAAATCTGCATCACAGGACTGTGAAATGCAGTGTTCTCTGTAAAGTTTTAAGTCAAAAACAAAACAGCTTTAATGGAGAAAAGCTGCTTTAAAGGTAAGAGACGACTCAAAGGATGACATATCCTTACTGCCTGCTGAGGAGCTCCAAGGGGAACCCCGGCGGAGGAACTCACCGCATACTGAAGTGCGCCAAGCACGCTCCAAAACACACTCCACATCACAGAGTAACCTTAAGGGGAATAGTTTTGAACATCCAGAATTAGACATTGCTATTAAACATTACAAGAGGAGAGATGCTGGCTTTTAATGTGGCTTCACCCTGGGACTGGTTTGCACAAGTAGGAAAGAATGTCATGTTTGTTGGCATTTTTCACCAGGAGGGTAGATGTCAGGAGCGATCACTGACAGCACATTTCTGCCTTTCAAGGGTGTGTGTCAGCCTTCACTCCACACCAAACTCCAGACAACACACAGGACATTTATGAATTGCCTGGCCAGCACTACTGCCCAATGGTTCACTAGGCTGCAAGATCTTGAACAATTTCATTTTCACAGGAAAACATTAAAAATCTGGATCTGAGTGCAAGATTCAAGTTGTGATATCAGAGGACAACCAACTCTACATATGTACCTGGAAACTTCCTATATGTCCACCTCTTTCCCATGCAAGATAACTTCAAGAGAACATGCAGGAGAAATCCATGTTTGTTCCATAAAGATGTGGCAGCATAGCAAATTTTAATCACAGCACCCACTTCAAATGTATGACCTGCCAGCCGACAGCTCCGTGGTCACCAAAGAGTGAATTTTCACATACAAAAAAAGGCTGAAACAAAGGTACTGACTGACCCAAAATCAAAGTGTCCCCACATCCATTCATTTACATATCACATTGGAGGCAAAGGTTGTGCTTTATTTGACAGAGTCAGAAGAAGAAACTTAGCAGAAAAGGAAAAAGCTTTACAAGTATGCCAAATTATCAGACTGACAAGGAATAAAACCTTGTCATATATCATTCATGCACTACATACACGCTTCAGACTTCTGTAGCCTCTTCCTCCCTTCCTCAGATCTCAAAGCTGTTTGCAAACATAAATGAATAAAACCTCTCACCTCCCATGAAGCAGGTGATTTGTTTTTATTAATACATAAATGAAAGAGGAAATTAATTAAGGAATAGAAAGGGCAAGAGGCCCAAGATCACACAGCAAGAGCGCTTTAATCACCGTATTCTGGCCACTTAGGAGTAACACTCGCATGTTAATGCCTTCCTGCTCTCCAACAAGCATTTGCCATGGACCACGTTTCCCAGACTAAAGGCGCCTCACAGGTCCCAGCTAGCTTTGTGGCTGTGTTCTCATCAGGGACATGAAGTTTTTCTTCACATTCACACCATCACACCTCTGTCCTCTGGTATAATTATTATTTATGCTGAATATAAATAGCAAAGGAGATGATCCTAAGATGAATAATGAAAAGGCAACAAGAGACAAAAAAAACTGCTCCAGTCAGCGAGTATCCTACCTGCTTTATATTAAATACGTCTTAGCACCAGGTCTCTGCATACCAGAGGAGGAAGGGTGAGTTTTAGGGCCATTGCACAATATGAACTTCCCCAATGTATCACAGTTACAGAATCTCCTGTGCCAAATAACTTTGTGCTGATCCACGGTGGAAATTCACAGTGTTCAACAGCCCTTGAAATTTCTAATTTGTACGTTCCCACAGAGGAGCAGTGCAGTGGGTGCATTTCTGGCTCCTGTGCTGTGCCTTGGACATGGGATCAGTCACTCTCTGGAGCCTGACTCCGAATTTTGTGGCACTATTTTAATTATTAAGCAGGGTATAGCTATCTGCTTCTCCATTTGCATCTAGCACTTTTAATGACAAGAAAATACATCCTTTTTAAATGCTAGCCTAGTGAGTGGTATTAAGAAAAGTGCGAGCTATTACACGTGCAGATTTCCAAGCAATTAGTCACGGAGGCAGGAGCGCAGACACTAGATTAGCTCCCAAGTCTCCGCCGCCTTCTGCTGCCCCGCTGCACCAGCAGCTTGGCACGGAGCCGGGAGGTGAAGGCAATGCTCTCATACCGGATGGATTCCCAGCACCTGCCACCTATAGCAAGCACAATGCCCCTCGCTCAGCACCTGATGCAGCTCTGCAACACTCCGCACCACACAAGGGTGGCCAGGGACTGATCACCAGCCAGGACTCAAAATGTTTTTGATACAACGAAACAAGAGCTTTCCACCTCTGTTTACCTGCAACCAACACGATCCTACTGACAAGAAATATCCCCTGTGGATAAAACACTAAGTGTATGTAGAAAGGGAACACTAACAGCTACATTCTGCTCATGTGAAGATTTCTTCCCCCGACAGTACTATTCTAGATGCATCACTGCATATTTGCAGTGGAAGATGAAAATACTTCTGGCATTAAAGATAGTGACATTCTTAATTTATCTCACATGTGGGAAGGTGTGTGTGGGAGGAGTGTGAGCAACTCTCAGGAATATGTCCTACGTAGTTTAATAAAGAAGAGTACACATTTCCCCTAGGATTTTATTTTTTTAAATAAACCTCAAAATTGTAATAGAAGATTCTTTTCAAGAGTTTAGAAAAAAAAATAAACCAGGGGAAAGAAATCTGATTCCACATTCCATTTTGTAGGGTTTTTGAGTAGTGTATATGTAGAGAGATGAAATTATAAAAAATGGAATCCAAATTATTCTGCTCTTCAAACACTCTTGAGCACTTACTCAGATCTGCTCTCCGATCTGAGTATCTTTAGATTTTGGATTGTTCCCAATTTTCAACATGTCTGTGGCTCCAGTTGCATTATGACAGTGACTACCATGCCTGAAGAGCCTCCAGATTGTGTCCCCACTCCTCAGAGGGCTGTGGGGCCAGGGAGGACCCACTGCTCCAGGGCCTCCGCACCAGACACCCAGGAGAAGCCAGGTCTCCTGCGGGGACATGGAGCACTGCTTGGTACAAATTTCCCAGCCACTTCTCCCAGATGCTCTTTCCCTTCCTACACTACACCCTGCTCCGCAGACATGCAGGCTGCCCTGCACGCTCGAGGACCTCGAGCAGCTTTCCTCGTGGCAAATTGCAAGGGAAGGGTGCCAAGGGCGCAGACCAGTCTAGATCCACCCTGAGACACAAGAGCTACAAACCATCTATTTTCCTCTGGCTGATAATACATTAGCAAACCTATTTTTCTTGCTCATAGATGTTCACAGAAGACCTAAAGATAGTCTGTTATTTTCAACAGAAAATGCAATTTGCTTCCCTAAAAATATCAGTAGTGCAGGCTATGGAGAGTTTGTTTTTCCCCAGTAATGCAATTTTTCATTATTGCCCTGGATTAAAATTAAATTGCTAACATAAGGACAAGCAGATGAATCCATGGTTATGATAGCATAGAAAAATGTCAATACAATGCTTGTACACTGTATGCTTCTTCAGTATTTAAAGATTCTTATCTCTAGAATAATATAAACTGAAAAACATTGTGAGGCTCTCACACTATTAAACGAAACAAGGCTACTTCTGTTGCTTTCCTTCTGCGTGCTGACTTCAGACAGGCAGTATATAATGTTTTGAAAGGAAGTTTCAAGACTGCTTTCTGGGTTTGCCCGCACAGGGAGCCAGCATAGTTATTGTTCAAAAAGAGAACAGGGCTGTGTTTTTGTGCCTGCAAACCCAACAGCAACGTTGGCAAAATACTGATAAAAATGCTAGAATTGTTTACCAACCCTAGGCAAAATAAGCCTATTCCAAACCCTGACTTGAAGCATCTCTGCAGCAGGGGCAATGTCAATTTTTGGTGAGAGGGAAAAGAAAAAAAAAAAAAAAAAAAAGGAAAAGAAAAGAAAAGAAAAGAAAAAAGGCAACTCAAGCTCTGACATATTTAGCAAAACAATAATGACTTAAGGGGTGAAAAGAATTCCATAATCTCCAGTTCCTTGTAAGAACATAAAAGTAACTGAGAAGCAAACGGCTCTTTCAGAGGAGGTCAGACTCGTGTTGTTCCAACATGCTTTAAAAAGACAACCTTTGCTCTGAAGATATCTTTTCTCTTCCCATGGCTGAGGTTATAGCCAAACTCTACTGAATTTAGCTGAATCCCATTGCCCCACACCTTTCCCCCAGCCATGATCTGGTGCTGACCCCTCCAAACCCATCCTGGAAAAGCTCCTTTACAAACCCTGCTTCTGCCCAAGTCAGCCTCTTCCTCAGTTTTCTGTTTTAGCTGGAGAATAGTCATTTAATTTGCAAAATATATATTTTCGCACTTGCTTCAAAGTAGTTTCATCACTAAGCCCTAAAGACATACATGGGAACAGTGATTGACAGAAGAAGGTTACCAGCAACAATCACTTTGAACCAGCTAAGTGAGAAGCACTTTTGATGGGAATGACACACGTGATGATAATTTCCTTTCTTCTTGGGCACCATTTCCCGGGGGTTATTCACTGAACTCTGCACAGATGCACTTTCCCAGTGGGACCACTGGCCAGTACGGACACTCGGCAGTCCCCGAGAGAGAACTACCACGACAGCAGGATTAAAGCCCGTGAAGCTGTATGAAATCAGTCTCTCAAGTCTCTGAACTCAGTGCAAAGCCTGTATTGCACACGTTGCAAACAGCCCTGCTAGCCCTTAGGCTCTCTCAGGAGATCAGAAAGGAAACCACAGCTTTGTTCTAGCAAAGGCATAAAGGGCTTCAGAAGTCACAATACCAAAGGGCTCTGCAGGCACGGGCCATAGTGCAGCATTTTGTTATCCACTCTCACCTTGTTGGAAACACGCTGTTGGCTTCTAAGGAAAAAAGGATAGGGATTAGGTTTATTTCTGTAGGCTCAGTTCTTGGTTTCTTTACTTTCTGGTCAACCACTGAGGCTCATGCTTCTATATATTGCCACCTGAAAAATAATAATCTAAAATTATATGGACAAAAAATATCATTTCTTGTTGTTGTTGGAGTCTCAGGGGAACGTGAAATGAAGAAATAATTCTGGACAATTTCTGCTCTTTCTATAATGAAAAAAGTAAATGGAAGTATCAAAGTGACACCTCCATCAATTTAGAATTAAGGAATCGACTTTTCTTGTCTCAAGTCAGAAAACTGCAAAAGAAAATATTCTGACAATGCCAGTTTAGAAAACTGCCATAGGAAAAGCAGGTACTTCATTCCTCAATGCAGCCTTTTAATGTATAAGAAGCAGTATATTATACAAACTAATATGCCTGCTGAGTTATGCTCTATTTTACATTATTCATGCCTCACTTTTCCTTTCTGTTCATTCACTAATTGAGCTTCTGTCCTTCATTATTTGTACAACAGTGTCTCAGGGGATCCTCTTGTTCTCTTTATAAAAATATAACTTAAGTGCTCCCATAAAATAATTATGCCTTTGTATTAACTTGTATTAATAGGTGTGCTGTAACTGCATGGCTGGATCATTTAAATATACTGAAGAAGACACATGGAGTACATAGAAAGCTTGTGTAGTGTTTACATAGTCTTCAACATATTTTGCCAAAACAGCATTTCTCCAAGTCTTGTGACGTACTAAACAAAAACAAATTTGAGCACCAACAACAGCAAACCTCTAGAGTGGAATCACACTGTACAGAAATGCAAGCATTATATATCATAAATCATACGATGGAGATCTTCAAAAGAAGCCTCTTTCCTGTAGGATCCTGGTGTTCCTGAGTTGCCCATCAGGATACGATGCTCCCTGCAGGAGAGCTAGAGCATCAATGCTCCACAATTACGCTTCACGAGCCTCCACCATCTGCCACATGCAAAACACAGGCAGTTCAGAAACGAAGGCTCTGTCCTGCAAGCAGCTATGCAAAAGCTCAGCCATATCACGCAAGTCCTGACAAGTGATGGAGACTGCCTCAGAGAGTAAAATTAATTGCACGAGTTGCAGTTTATTGGCTTGGGTATTTACATCCTGATTACAACTAAGTGTTTATCTCCATGTTTATACTTCATCTGCATGCTTGGTGTTTCCCAGACTTTGTCCTTCAGCCCCTGCCCAGATGGGGGAGCACACAGGTGCTGCACAGAGGTGCTGCCGGGGCAGCACCGGGTTCCTTCAAGGCCTGCTCGCTCCTACCTGCTACCAGCAGCCCCGTAGATGCCATGCTCACTCCAGTTCCCTCTGCACACCCCTGATCTAGTGCTTTACTTGCAAGTGAAGGTGGAGAGATGTGATCGTGGTGACAGACTGCAGGGTTTCACCGTGCAAAGTACACTGGTTACAGCTGCTACCAGTGAATTTCAAACTAATAATCAGAGACACAGCATCTTTTCAAGCAAACAGTCAGAAAATACCTTGATGCTAATTTCCCAGCCCCTCCTTGGCAGCTCTGCAAGGAATTCACTGCAGGTTTCTGCAGGGATGGTGGTGGACCGGCTACAGGTGGGTCACAGAGGCGCAGGCTGTGCCACAGCAGAGCTGGTCCTGGGGCTCACTGAGGGGCCTGATTCTGAGGTGCACACATTGGGTTGCTCTTCACGTGTTGCTCTTCACGTCGCAGATGAGTGGTTTGGTTCCTAAAGCAGTTCTTCACACATTTCAGGACCTGATTTACACGTGGCACACCCACTGAAGCTGTACTACACCTTACATTAGCACTGTAAGGAAATGAATATATATATTATATATATATGTATATATACACACACATTGTCTTGTTGTTTTTTTTTTTTCCTAAAGTCTGTCAGATCGCTACATTATAACAGAGAGGCTATTACAGACAGGTTTAGTTAGCTGTGCATCATTTCACACCTTCATTACACTCTTTACCAGGAAAATGGATTGCTTTTGAGCCTCTCTCCATTCTCATTAAACTTCCACTCTTGTGAGGTGTCAGTGCTGTAAAACGCCTAATGCGGCCAGTTAATTATAACACCGCTCCCTGCTTTACCCTTTTCAATTACCACTTCCACTGGCTGGAGCAGCCAAGCTCCCACTTTGGGTTACCCAGAGCAAAACTAACATGGGAGACCAGGGGGCAGCCAGTGGCCAGAGGAAAACATGCCCACACCAGACCTGGGAGAAAATGAGGCAGATTTCCACCAGCAGGACATGGCATTTCTTGGATTGTGGAAGGGGGAGTCCTGCATAGGCAAGGCTGAAAGATGGAAGTGCCACCTCACTTTCAACCTCCTTTACTAATGCTGGTAACTGCAAGGCAGACACTACAAACCTGATTAAAGAAGCCTTCCTCGGAGCTGCTCAGGGTAGTAGCAGTACTTAGCAGAACAAGTACTGGCAGAAATTAGCCTGAAATCACATAAATGGCTGTAATTTCCGCTTCAGGACACGAGCTGTCTGATAGCTACAAGTTAATTCTCTCCTTGAGCACTGCGGTTTTCTTGCACACTTGGTGGGACCTGCAAAAGAAACACAGGCTGGTTTCAGCTCCCAGTGACCAAATGTCAGAAGTCTCCTTCTAGTCCAGCCTGGCCACTTCCACCTCCCTTGTGCAGCCGGGAAGAGCAGGGGAGAGCCACACCACCAAGCCCCATACAAGCTGAAACCAACCTGCTCAAAGAAATCTTGATTTAAAGTTTCTCAGAGCAGCAAACCTACTAGGACTCAAAGCAGGGCTTTCTAAGGATAAACCACCCTCCTGCTTTGCAGGCACTGCATATGCCCACAAAAAGGACACTACTCTTTTTAGCTCTTTTCTCTTACTACAAAAAACAAAGCAGCTGAGGATTTCCCAAGTAATACCTTGCTGTACAAATGAATATTTCATTTCTAACAGGAAGCAATTTTCAATGTATTTATGAAGAAAGCATCGTTGCTGTAAAGGAACAACACGTTCTGGCAGAGACATCCCAAACACAACTGAGAAAGCCATCTCCCTGATGAGGGATCAGAAGATCAAAGTTGTGTTTTATTAGTTGTATAAAAAGTATCTTTAGCTCTCAGTTGAAAGAAAAAATTTGCATTTAAATAGAAAGATTAATAATTGTAATACACAGAGCCCACACGGAATAATTTTTTGTAACAGAAAATAATTCATATTGTTTTATATAAACTGTGCACCTTAAGTCAAGCTACGAAAAATGATAATCGTAATATTTTACAGACCAATTTTAATATAATACAGCTTTGTTACATTATTATTCTCCATTGTAAATAATGCATGTCTGGAGCTTTGGGAAAGGCTGGATTTAAAATACTCATCTCAGAAAATTCAATAGGGCGTGTGCTTTTTAGTGTGTTTACACTATGCATGAGTTTTACTTATTAAAGTAAAAAAAAAAAAAATGTATTGGAAGGATAGGAACAAAGCTCCCTCCTAACACAAAGACAGACCAGGAGGTGATGCAATGGAGAGCTTATTGGATTATTTTGGAAATAAATATTTTCTTCTAGAACATGCAAATCTAGATTCACTTGAGTATTTTGAAATGCTATTGAACTGTTGAGTTGTTTTGCTCAGGTCAAAAAAATCCCAATCTTTAAACCAAAAAAATATATATAAAATACACTTTGACATTCTTTTAGCATTTGGGGGTGCACCTTTTGAAATCTAATTTCAAAACAAAATTACTTACAACTACAACTTTCAAAAACTGTCTGCTATCTACAGGAAAACAGCCCTTCTTTTCCATTTCTTTCTAACCAAGCCTTTAAAAAAATAATAAGATATTGATGTTTCAGAGAAAACTTCCAAAACATCCCTTTGGATCAACCTGAAGCATTTCCCATTTGTGTGTGTGTGTGTGATTTGCCTTAGTGAATGTTTTTTTTGGCCTGTGCTGAGGAGCTCAGCTAAGAGCAGGGGTTATATCCCCAGGTCATACCCCTGGGATGCTCTCCCATAGCCACCCCAGAAGGGCTGTGGTACCTCCAGCACACCAGGGTTGCAGTTTCTTCCTTCAATGCCTTTCCTTTCCTCTCCTGACTTAGCATTAGCAGAGCCCTACCACCCTCAGCACACTTCTGTCTTGGCTCCTGGGATGATTCCTGCACCCAGCAGGCTGCTCACTGACACTAAAGGGTGGCCAGGGACAGAAAACCCTGCAGTCAGCCATCTCGTCTGCGAGGGAGACCAGCTGCTGCTGAAAGCAACACAAACTTGCAGAAGTTAAGGGGCAATTTCCTCGCCAGCCTCACCACAAGAGGCAGAGCAGGGACCTCGCAGCGTTCAGTTTGTTGCTTCCTCATGCATTCCAGTCCTCACCCAGAGAAACCTTTTAATTAGAGAAGGATCAGGAAGGAGTTGCCCAGCATTCCCCCAGTGCCACAAAGATAATAGAAGAAAGCACAGCCCCTTACTCTCCTCAAAGCTACCAGCACCACTAATTTCCCTGCCAACATTCAGCTCAGGTGCTTCTCACTGATCATTTAATCACCATCACTCTCACTGCCTTCCATTTCATCCTCCAAGTGCTGAGCAACAGGCACAGACACAACGGAGCACGCTTGGAGGAACCTTACTGGAGGCTTGGAGGCTTACTGAAGCACAGGATTGCTTCTTTCCCATTTCTCCAATTCAGAAAGGAGATAAGATGTTGGATGCTACGACTTCCAAAAGAGGGGTCTGAAAATGGGAGGACTGCTCTGCTGTCCATGGCCACCACTCTGCGAGGTCCAAAGAGCAACCCGGCCTTCAGGAACCATCACACCTTTGGGCAGTTTTGCAGAAACATGTGGCCTAGTCACTTTTTTCATAAAATAGAATCATAGAATATCCCCAGTTAGAAGGGACTCATAAGGATCATCGAGTCTAACTCCTTTCACCACATTCAGGGAGCAAAGCTCGATCAAATATTTTCTATTTAAAACAGCAACAAAGGCAAATAACAAGTTTTGTAAAGACTAATTTTCTTGCACACAATGTCAGTTAGCATTACAATATTTTGTCATATATTCCTTAGCTGCTCAATGTAAGTTCTTGAGCTTCTGAATGCAAATATTTCCTGTCAAGGAGAAGGATAAGACCACGTGACTTTTTATCTCAGTTATACATTCACATATCACATACCCGAAGTTAACAAGTGACTCTCTTGTGTAAAACAGTTTTCTACTTCCTGTGCATCCAAAATAGCAGCTATGAAAATTCTCATCTATTATACAGTAAGATAGTTTGCTGCCTTTATTTTTCTGACCACATGTGTATTGTACAAGCAGAGGACAGAGTCTTTTATGCTATCATCCTGCTGTCTGGAAATCTCATTCTGCAATCTCTGCTTTTTCATTGCCATTTTCAGATGTTTAATGAAGCGACACATGGATATGAGATGCCCCTGTTATTTCTTCTGCCCAGTCTCTATCGTTTTCAATCTCAGAACTATTGAGTAAATGGAAATAAAGTTACCAGCCCTGTTTTGCACTTCCTCAGCAAAACTCCCACTGGAGTTGATGAGAAATGTACATAAGGTACAGATAGGAGATTTAAGTCTCCTTTTTTCCACATTGGCTGCATGGAAGAACAGAAAAGGAATATATTCATTGTTCATAGGCCTCGTCTGCTTTTTAATTGAGAATTGCCATTAGTTACGGGTGCTTTCTAAATGAACGACCTACATTTATACTCTCCCATGGCCACTCCTTCACACAGTTGCCCTCCCCTTTGGGACCTCACGTAGTACGACCAAAAGTACGAGACATCAATATGCCACACTCTTCTGCACACAGCTGTGGATTTGCCCAAGAAAGCTGTGCAGAAAGCTGATTTCTCACCATCTCCAGCTCATAGGTGCACCACTGACCTTTTCTTCCCGCATAGCCATGTCAAATGACAGGAACGATCAGACTTCAGTGCTGAAGGTCAGCCACATCAACCTTGTCCGTTTCCTACTTGTGTACGAGTTCACACGCATCCTTCCGCTCACCAGAATCACGCTCAGCCCACTGGTTTGCAAGAGCATACATTAGCAGGAATTTTAATGAGTTGAACTTGTGCTGAACTTCCTTCTTTAGCTGCTATTTTAGTGATTTGTTGACTCTCTAAGGCTCATTCAGGACTTTTTTTTTAGCCTTGACAGAGTAGATAGAGTAGACATGGATTTTATGTGCCAACTCTTCTGTATTTTTGGCACTCCTCTCATCACATAGCAGGTCAGTGAAATACAAGTTTGAGCAACAGAGAATGCCTCCTGCATGTATCTGTGCTGTCTCAAAGTAGCCTAAACTAATCTCTCCCTCTCTTCCCCATTAGTAGCGATGCTAAGCTGGAGCAATGGCTGAGGATGCTTTAACAGCCACACAGAATCTTAATAAGATCTGCTTACATTTATATTGTGCATTTCAGGCCGGCTGGCTCAGTTTCCTTAGCCACAGCCTCACAAAGAAGCTGAATGCACTGGTTTATTTTTGTGGGCTTTTTAATTATTTTAGCATTGTCTCTGATTTTTGTATCAGCCATCTGTGAAGTGTGGCAGGATGTGTGTAATCTTCTATGGCACATGTTGTACTTTCTCCATTATTATCTGATGGGAGAGAAAACCAAAGTTAAGGGAGATTAAGGTCAGTGTACTCTCAACATCCAATCGCTGTATAATCCACTGCGTTATCACTAGGGAAGATTATCAGCCTTGATAGGACCTATTCTTTGAGCCATTCAGCTCTGTGGAGGCCCACTTCTCTCACAGAATGGCATTTCTGCTCAGTCTGAACGGAGAGAAATCATACATAAATTTTCCGCTACATGCCGCTGACATGCAGTAAGCAATTGTCTCTGCTCAGGATGCAGGACAAGCACCTCACTGCACAGCAGCGCTCAGCTGTGCCCTGCACTGCCCTGGCCAGAGCAGAAGGGATAACTCAGCCCCCCCAAGCCTCCCTTTCCCTAGGGTGTTGCTGGGCAGGATCAGGCCTCCCAAGGGTGAAGTCGCACACTGTTTCTTGCAAAAGGTCCACGAACACAATTTCATGATGTTAAATGGTCCAAAGAATTATTTGAGGAGGGTGAGGCACAAAGGGCAGTGTGCCTGGGACAAGACTGACTCCGTGCCCTGCCTCCCCTCTCCCAAAAGAGTTGTGCAACTTTCCCAAAAATGCTCTGAAACCAAGACAGTAAATGCATTATCTCCTATTGCATCACCCCTTTTCTAGCAGGAACACAGCTCAGCAGACATGCTCCATCTACCAAAGTTCGGTAAGGCTGGGCCACATGCTGCTTCCAAGCATCACCACATTTAACCAGCTAATAGCCTCTGAGCATCTCTGTGGACCGAGCAGAGGCAGGACCAAGCAGATGCTGGGCTCTGTCACATTTTGCACAGGTTAAATGTGCCCCAAGAGAGTGCGAGGACGGCAGTAATTACCCACAGCTGCAGCCCCACTGTGAAACGTCCACGAAACCCATTAGAGCAGCCGCATTGCAAGAGTAACCAGAACACCCCAGATTTCAGGCTAATTTCCCTCTGTTTGCAATTAAGGTATGAAGGTAGAAGTGTTTTCAAATTACTTTAATTCCCGGTTCCTTCTCCACTCCCAACAAGTTAATGGCTGTTGCTCCTCCACAAGGCCAAGTCTCTTAGCAACGCCAGCTCGGCAGCTTGGAGGATGCCCCCCTGCGTGGTGCCACGCTGCAGGCTCCTCTCAGACAGCAAAAGCAGGAGAGATGGAAGAGCTTCCACTGACCTGGGGCAGGCAGCACTCAGCTCCAGGAAACTCAGTCTATTAGCACATTGTGTTGCAAGTGAATGAAGGATCTTCCTCTAAGAGCCAGGAGGCAATGAGGAAACGGGCATTGCCTCTTTCCCACAAGAAGATCCAGCACGGGCCCTGAGCTGGAGCTTCACTGCATGCCTCAGCTGCATGATCTGCTCCTCACAAGTTCCTACAGCCCCACAACAAGCAGAGGCTGTGGTTCAGGCGCTAGCAAAATGTTAGGAAAAGGCTCACAATTCTGTTAGATTTACTGAACCAGCTCCTCGTTTTTTTCGGGGGGCTTTTCAAGCACCTACAAGTTACCTGTGTGACACCTGAGCCTCCGAGGAGGAACTGCTGCAACGTGAACTTCTGAGCTATACTAAAATCAATTAAAACCACACATTCATTTTGCTGTGTTGCTTTTCTGGGCAATAAATGACTGCAGCTGCCATGGGGAAAGCAAATGCATATGATGGGAGGGGAGGTTGGCAGCGAAGCAATGTCAAGAGGCTTTCCCCAGTGGCAACGGAGGTCTGGAGAGCTGACCATCAGAATCTCACCACTGGGAAAACTCCACTGTTTGCTCTAGGATGTCCTGAGATGTAAGTAGCCATCACTAGCTCCATAAAACATGGGACATTCGCAGCCCCAAGGCTGAGAAGAAGTAGTAAGACCATGAGGTGCCCAGACAGCACAGGTTTCCCCCAAAGTATTCCCTCATATTGGGAACTGACCTGGACCCAAGTGAGCAGCACTTTTGCCCTACTGCAGGAAATCTTCCTGGTGCCTACCCAACTTTCTAGCTAGGGTAAGATCTTAGTTCTGATCTGCTTTTAATTTTTTGCTTATAGCTTCAGTATTGCTGTATCATATATAACTGTACTTTCATGCTTGGGTAGCAGCAGTAATAGATCAGCAAGATTTCTTGCACCTATCTCAGGAGGAAAAGTTTTATTAAATCATTAAATAAAATCATCATGTAGTCTGCCTTTACAAAATTAAAAAGAAAAAAAAAAAAAAGGAAAAAGAAAAAAATAAAGGAGAGAAAAAAAAGATCAGCTTTAGAACTGAAACACAGTTGGGACAGTAGGTGTTGTGAACACTACACCAAAGTAGCTGAATTAGAGGCTGTGCGTCAAGAAGAGAATAGAGTGCGTGAGTTTAAGAAAAAGAGAGAGAAAGAGAAAATTAAAAAATGTCCTTTTGAATTAAGCCTTTTCTCACCTCTAACAAGGCTCTAGAAACAGCACCAATCAATCCAAATGACACTTTAGTGTGAAGATCTATTATATTCCTCAATGATCATATGGCTTTATATGTTATAATTTGGTTCTGAGTTATGTCCTACATCAATTATAATTGAGCACTGCTTCTCACTGTACAATCAGACTGTGATGAGAACAGAAAGGCAGTGGACATTAGAGGATTACTATCAGAACCACCTAATTTAATTAAGAAGGAGATTTATTAAAATGGTAACATTAACAGGTGTTTTATGGGACTAATAATTAATAAGGTTTCTGTAGAACATTTGTAAGAGAAATAGACAATATGCAGTGCCAGCAGAATCTCCCTGTAATGGGATAACAATAAAGCATTAAGAACTGTAGATCAGATATTATGATAATAATCTGATACTGTAAATTATGGTTTGAAGAGGATTAAATGCCATTAGTGCAAATTAGTATTTATTTAAGCTGAAGCAGGACTTTGCACAGCATCTGGAGAGAAGGCGGGCTGCAGCCCAGCTCTCCATCATGGACACTTGCTGTCCTCCAAAACCTGGCTATGATGAGCCAAAAACCTTGCTGGTTGCCAACAAACTCTGAGAACCTTCACCCAGGGAACCGCAGCAGTGCCGCAAGGAAGCACTTCACTCCTGGGAAGCCCAGAAACTTATTTCTGCCCAAGTTACCTTCTGAGAGCAGAGAGAGAAGAGAGCCTCGGGGTCTTTTCGGGAAATGAGGGTGCTGAGGGATTTTGCAGAGGGACTATTGCTAAATAAGCAATTTACAGCTCATGTTAACACCTGGTGCTTTCTTAGCTCTAAGCTTAAAGAAGTAAGCATTCCCCAGGTAGGAGGAGAGAGGTGCTACAGCAGCACTCCGAGCCCACAGCTCTTTTTCTAAACTAGCCACGATCCTTGACACAGTGATGGAAGAGGATATTAGCAGTGGGAAATTTTTTCAAGGCCAGTACTTTAATGAGCTCCTAAATAATGACTTTATCTTAGAGGCACACTCAATATTCATTCTGAATCACACCCAAACAATAGTACTGCCTGACTTCGGTCAACAGAAAACAAATGCAGAGCTACAGCTTGGAGAGCAGCTTTGGGAAGCAGCAAGGGGATGGGGCATTGGTCCCTCACCAGGACCAGGGTGAAAAATTTCCCATGGGGATGGGGAACCCCTGAAGATCATGGTGTTTTCAGCTCCCAGCCACCCTGCACCAAGTGAGAGGTGCCTGTGTGTCCCTGAAGTGCAAGGGCTGCTTGTGCCACTCAGCCGAGGGCCGACCCACATTTTTTTCACTTTTAGTCAGTATCTGGTATCAAGAACAAGCAGAGTTTGCAAAGCAAATGAAATGATCACTTAGAATCAAAGTGGGTCACTTCCACCCTCAGCTGTAGAGGTGCTGGTTTTGGATGAGAGCTCAGCTTCTCGTTTTCTAGGGTGGGTCTGAGTTGTTTCACAATCAGGGTGTGCCAAGGGGGAAGGCCCTTAGCTTCAATCTAAGCACTCAGCCCCTACAGATGCTTGGCCACTGTCCTCTTCCACAAATTGCACTGAACAATTTTGGGTTACTTCAGGCTTACATGTAATCAAATTTTAGTTTCTGTGATTGGTTCTGGGCTAATGCATTGCAATGGGGACAATTTTGATCAAACTTTCTCTGGCTTTTGTTTCCAAGTTTGGGGCCCAAAACACATTACAGTTTTATATCTGCCCCAACATGAAATATCATCTCTGCCAGGCCTTAGGGAACCACCACAGCAGGCTGCTTCCATCACCATCTCCCCAGGCCAGAAACAGACCCTGGGCCATGGCTTTTTTATGGTTCAGAGACACTTATGAGTGCAGATTAACTTGTCCTGACAGAGAAACCAGTTACCATCCAGCAGCCTCTGGAGCTCCCATATATCTTCTTCCCAGCTTTATTTCATTTTTAGCCTTCCCATTCACTTGTGCATGCCTATAGGGAGCAGAAACCCATGCCAGAGTTCTGGGAATACCCTGCTTCCCCAAAAGCCTCACAGACGGCAGGGAATGAGAAATACCTCCTGTCAGCACAGTGCTGCACACTCTGGAGGTCTGTAACACATAAAATCTCCATCCCATCCCATTTCCCACAGGCAGGCCAGGATTTCCAGGCTCTTCTAGGAGTTCCCACTTCACTGGCTGGCTCTGTGAATCCAGGCCTCATGAGGTCCTTTCAAATTCCCACCTGCAAGCAGCACACATTTTGCAATTATTAATTAGCCAAACTCTTGCATTTAACAGGAATGCTTTTTTTCATTTGTTTTATGTTTATATCACATGAAGAGCAGTCTGGGGTTTGCATTTGAACATCATTTCCCTACCCCACACAAATAACCAGTTCCCAAGTACAAACCAAATATTCATGCTTGCTTTTAAGGGCTGCAGGCTGCACCCAGCAGTGTTAGCAGCAGGAAATCTGTTGACTTCACAGGCACGGTACAGGGCTGGCAGAAATAAGGAAGATGTATTTCAAAGGGGAAAAGGTGCATAGTATATTCCCTTCCTGCAAGGGAGATCCTCTGGGCCAGTTTGAGCAAAATTGCTGCAAAAACAAAGCCTACTTTCTTCCCCGGTACTGCTATTTAAATCACTTCTATGGGATGCCACTGTCAGTCACTGGGTTTTAATATTAGCACAGCAGCATTACAGGAGAATGAGTGCTGAATCAATAAAAAATTAAGAAAATACAGGTTTTATTGCACAGTGATATTTGGAATTGGTCCCTCAGGCTTTCCAGTCGCCTCGGTTTTGTTTTATATGCCAGTGGATGGAGCGTTGTGTGAAGTAGTTTGAATGCAGGAACCAATCAGTCGTAATCTAATTCTAAATGGACCACAAGCAAACTGCAAAAATAAAGACAGGCAGGGGTATCATGTTGACAGATGTGCCTATGGTACATTGTATCTCTGCTCTGCCTAACTAGGAAAAATACTCTCTTAGATTGTTTTATCTATGTATAATGCCAATAGCAAGAACAATAGGGGGGAACTTGGTTTCTGCAGGGCCTTTATATATAAATTTATAGAAAAAAATGTGAAAAGGGAAAATAATATAATATCTTCTTGGTTTCACTTGTCAAATAGTAAACTAACAGTCAATAAGCATATGAAAAGCATAGAATAAGCAGCATGGGTGTCTTACTTGTTCAAGTTAGAGGATTTCTCTCTGAGGCCAAAATCTAATTGTTCCTCTGACTCCTCAAGCAAAGGGGTATGATTGTCTGGAGGAACTGTGGACAAACAAAGAGATGGTGGCAATCAGCAGGTAGTTATATACAGCATAGTGCATAGCTGTCTGCATCTTCACCTCATGCTGCAGTTCTAATTAATTTCAACTGCTTTCACCTGCTATTTGCAATTATTATTTTCTCTTTCATTTCCACCACCACAAGCTCTTACGGTTGACCAATCCCCCCCCTGCTTAACCCAGCTTACCCCACAGAACAGGTCCTTAAATCACAACCTCCTCATCACTCGCCTTGCTGTGAGAAAGCAGCAGTGAGCAGCTAGCTGTGCCCTGCACAGCCAAAATCCAAACCCCAGGCAGCAACATCCCTGGGCTCTGCAGTACCTGAAGCTTCACCTCATTCCTCTGGAGCAGCTGATGGTCTCTCTGAGGGGTCCATCTCCCACCCACCAGCCCCTGAGGGAGATTTGCCTGCAGGTCAGAAAGCAGCTGAAGTGTCTCGGTGTGACTCTAGACCCCTCTCCTTCCTGACTAAGCTGCTTTTGTTGGTCCTCTACTGAGCTGGCACCTTTTTACATCTCTATCAAGACACCCACTGCTGTAATTCCTGCTCTGTCCTGACTCAAACTGCTGTGTTTGCCTCCTAAACAGAAAGAAAACAGAATTATAGGCTTGTCTATAAATTTAAGACCCAGTTAGTATAGAATCCTACCACGGTGCATTAAGAGCCATCACTCTGAGACCCCTCCAGACCTGCTGAAATACACCTACCATAATATGCTGAAGAAGTTACATTACCACAGGGGCCCAACTTCAGGAAACACTTAAGAAGCTGGTATTTTTTAACAGAAAATGTACAGCAGATACATTGAGGTGGTTCAGCAGTCAGTCTCCCTGGATGAAAAAAAAAAAAAAAAAAAAAAAAAAAAAAAACAGACACAACCACTTCTCATTCCTTCTGTGCAGATAGGAGCTTGACCATTAATGCTGGTTGCTGATACTCTCAAAAACAGACAAGCCAAAACAGAAACTGAGAATGCTTTTGAGGCAAATAAAGTGTGAGCAAATCATGCCTAATAGGTAAAATAAATAAATAAATATCTACAATCATGAAAGCAGATTTCATCAGCTAAAAAGGAAAAATATCCAGCTAAATTAGAGCTGTATAAAACATTTAAAAATTCAATCACAAAGGGAAAAATAGTGGCTCTGATCTCAAGGAGCATAAATCAGCAACAAGGGAGAGAAGACAATTTGAAAAAGGAACCTAAAAGAATCAATGGAAGTTCTGTGACTTGTAGAATAATACAAATATGGAAATTTAATATAATAGCATGACATTAAATCCTAGCAAGGTTGCAGATTTCATAATAGATAAGGATGGAAAAAAATGTCAAACATCATGCAGAAAATGCAGAAATAAACAGCAAAAATTTCTGTTCTGTATTTAAAAAGATGGAAAATCAGTTCATCTTTTACAGTGGCATGGCAATACTTCATACTTCAACATAAGCAGAAGATTTAAAACAACCATTAAATGTAAACATTTAAGTGCAGGATCAAATAGTTTTCTCTCCAGGCTATTAAAACAATTGACAAAGATCTCTCTGAAGCAGATAATTCCTTTTGAATCATCTGAAACCTCAAAGGAACTGCAGGAAATTCAAGATCACGTCAGCACTGAGAAGGATTCGCAGGGTGACACGGGCTTGTAGAACACTGATTCTAGATAAAAACATGGAAATAGGGGGGGCATGGGTCTAGTCGTACCCTGGCGGTCCCACATTGCTGCTCAGCACCCAGTGGATCATGCCATTCTGGTCCTGCCAGGATCGAGGCTTTGGGCAGCAATATGTACCACAGTACTCATCCCCTCCTGCACCCAGGCTGGGTTCTTACCCCAGTCCTTCCTCAGATCAACAGAAGGCACTGCTATGTTAGTTCTTGGCTTTGAAAGCTCTTTGCTTTTAATGCCCTTGATTTCCCTGTTCTCCAGCCCACCTTGGAGGATGCTATTTGTTAAATGGATCCTACTTGAGAGCTTGTGAATGCATTTTGATTGGATTTGATTATCACATATAAACCTTTGAGTACTTGGGTTGGCCAGGAATATAAATACAATTATTAGTAGTAACAAACATTAAGCAAAGCTGCACTGACTCACAGCAAAACACTCGTCAAGCCCCGGCCAAACAACTGCTTTCACTCTGCTTTCCTGCCCACTGTTTGTGTAGAGGATGCTCTTCAGAGGAAAAGCAGCACCACCCTCCCCTGGAGTCTGAGTTTGACTTTTCTACACACTTGCCCTCTCGCTTAAGTTATGCCAGCCCATCTGCAGGCATAGCTAATCCTCTCGTTAGCTAGCAACTGGTAGCTCAGCTCTGCTTCGCTGTGCTTAGCATTATACAGATCAGCCAAGTATTGATGCAGCATCACTGAGGAGAATCTAGATTGTCTTTTTTCCCCATGCTTCCTTCTTTTGAAACTTAAGATACATGCTGGAAATAATTTCAAGGGCTGCTGAGCATTGCCACTGGGGGAATGCAAGGGGCTTTCAACATTAAGACTAAAAGACAGTTTGAAATTTGCAAGTGGTTGCCTTTGAAATTAGATTTTGAAGCTAAATTCAAAGAAGCCCTGTAGCTTGTACCACTCCCTGCAAATACACATGGCATTTCTGACAGAGGCCAATAAAAGCTCTTCTTTCTTGCTAAGTCCAGCCCAACAGGTCTCATCCAGGAACCTTGCTCCAGCCGAAACCCCCAGCCAGGGGGAAGCATGGGGGTTTTGGCAGCAACGCAGGACCTGCAGCAGCAGCAGCAGCTGGGGAGCCAGGGGCAGCCAGCCCAGCCTGCAGGCTCACAGCAGCACCAGCAGAGCTGCTCAGAGGGGAAGGTGCAGTTTTGCTCACTGTGCAAACTTAAGTCCAGATCTCTTCAAAGCAAACTTACCAGCAGGGCTGGGATGGAGAGAGCTCACCTAAGACACCTCTGTCCCACCAGGTGCTGGATCACAACCACAAGCCAGTGGATGCAGGTTCACGTCTTAAGGTGTTATTTGCCATCTGTTTTCCAGTGGCACACAGAGGTCTCCAGCCCAGCTTTGGTACGGCATTTTCCTGATAAATCCTTCCACCGAGCATTAGCACTCAAATGAGCCAAAGCAGACCAGAAGCATTATAAACCTGATGCTGCAGCAGGAGGAAAGAACGAAAAAAAAAAAAAATGTTAGAGCGCATAAAAGTCATCTGTGGCAGAAAAAGAAACTGAAGCCAGGTATCCTCAATCCCAGCTCTGCTTCAAGCTCAGGCTTTCCTTACAATCGATTTATCCGATTTCTCTCCTGCTCCTCAGTCCTCTGAGGCACGACAGTGTCACATCTTTATAAGTAAAGAAAAACAGCACTGTATCTGGTAGGAATGGTCTTCCAACAGCAGGTTATGTTTCATTCTTGGTACTAGTTTCCATTCAGGTAATATATTTTTAAACGACAAATTTCCATATTTTGTCTTCTTGTAACCTAGAAGCAGTTTAGTGACATCTGCTTCCATGCCATCTCTGCTTTCACACAATGAGTGAAAGAGACGTGCCAAGTCATCCTCACTGAGAGGTCACTTAATTTTGGTTTGTAAAGCCAAATCTCCTGTGATCTCCATAATTACCAATCAATTTTACATAAATAGCAAAATTAAGCCCCATTATTCTCATTTACCAGAAAATTAAAGGAATTAATTAAACATGGGAAAAGTGCTGATGTCTGCCAAATTGTTACTTCCAATAGATAAAAACAAATTCAGGAATGATATGCAGGCAGGGGAAGAAAATCAGCTTTCCATCCAGCAACTCAGTGAACTATTGCAATGGAGAAGACTGTAAATAACAATCTCTGTGCCAGGCTTTATCTGAACACTGGGACAAGAAACACACAATTCTTTGTTATGAAGGGGAAAAAATCTGAAACAATCCCCTTATTTTTGTTTTTGCAAAACAGAATAGGCCCTGGGGACTGGTAACAACAGGCTGCAACAAGAATGGTTCTTTCAAAGTTTGATTTGTCAACGGACTGCTGCTCTGTAATTATCATGAATGGTTTTATCTCAAAGGAACAAAAGAGGGTACAAACATTTGGAGACAAACTGTGACCACAGGAAATCTTTGCAGGTGGCTGAATAATGGGGGCGAGGGAGAATTTCCAAAGTGCATGAGCCAGAGTTGGAAAAATAGGGAAAAACCAGACATTGAAGAGCTTTGAGACTCCAGCATCTTCTGCTGTCCTAATGAAGATGCATCAATGGGCAGGTTCTGAAGTTACAGTCATAAGACAAATGCATTACTGCAAGCAGTGTTTGAAAGACACTTGCAATTACAGCTGCTCTGGAACAATGAAATATATACTGTTCCTTAAATAAACTGAAAAAATGATAACCTCTTTTAACTGTCGTGGTGTAGTAGAGAGATCTTCATATCTTCCTTAATGAGATTTTTATTGCCAGTGTAAATTTGTCTTGAACTGAATTTTTGTCTTGGGAACTCTGAATTATGTTATACCGAGTTGTTCCTGGTAAGCATGCAGGCTTGCACACATTTTTTGCTGTGAAAATGGCTCCTTCTGGCAAACTGAAAGCAATTGAAGCTCAATTTAATTAGCTGCCTTCTGTAAATATGCCATTATTCTTCTAGCTCAGTGCTGGAGTTATATTTACAAAGGGAACAGATAGCAATAATTATTTTGGGCTGTAGTTAGTCAGTATTAGTTAATGCCTGAGTGTAATTGAGAGGAAATTAAGACAAGTGTAGTCTTTGGGGGGGGGAGATGGGGGACACAGAAGAATATATGAGTCTGCAACAGTATAGGTACTGCACCTGCATGTTTTGTCTTGGGCTGTAATACATAGAAAGTTTTGGCTAAAAAATCAAGCATTGAGCCTCTGGTCTGGAAATGGAGAGGGTTAATGATAATCTCCTTACAATTTGTTCATTAAAAAGTTGCTGGATTTTTTAAATAACACTCGAAAACTATCTCGTCTGAGTTTCTATCTGCCTTTCAAGTTACAGCCCCATGAGCTAACAACCATTGCCATATTACTCCTCACCAAGAAAAGTACCGGTGAGCCAAAAGGCTCAGAAAGCTTTACCAGAGGCCCCAGAGCTTGAGGATGATGAGCTGCTAGAAAGAGTTTTGCGGTGTCTGAGAGTCCCTGCAGGGCTTGGGATAGGGGAACCAACTCTAATGACTCTTTTGTGAATCTCTGAAACATTTTCCAGTGGCCATCTTAAAAGCAAACACGATTCTCAAATTGAGGCACTGCCCCATATCCCTTTTCATGGGTCTGGGTACATTATTCAAATTAACCCTCAGAACAGATTAGTTAAATTGCATCCCTATGTAAATGCTTCTATTTAGAATTAAAGAGACCTTAATTCAATTTACCTTAATCCACTTTCAAAGTAAATTATAGCAAATGAAGACTTCACTAATTCTGAATGATTGTTCACACTCAGGTTAAGCACAGTTAAACTAATTCTCTTTAAATGTATCTACTTAATTTTCATTACTTTCCCTTTGTGTCACCACAACACACATTCCCCCTTCTTTGGGCTTGCAAGTGTCAAGCTGTAAGTGAAATACTAAAAAATAATGAGTCAGATGTCTTGATGGAGCAAGGAGTTCTGAATAAATTTATGGGATTTTTTTTTTTTGCACAAGGGTTGGCAAACTGGGCCCCCTCTTTCCACACTAGAAGTAGTTGTCAGCTCATGCTATGGGACACGGTTGGTTTTGTGGTAAGCCTATTGCACCAAACAAGGCCTTTCAGATTCCCATTTCCAACAAAAGCTCTCTCTGCCATACTGGATAAGCATGGAGGGTACATGAGAGCTGAGGACAGTGCCAGGGCTGTCAGCATCAACCTCGCTGGGATCCTGTGCTGACAGCTGTTGTGCTAAACAGCTTCTGGCTTCAGGGCTCACTCACTTGCAGTGCTGCCTTGCATGATGGAGAAACTCCCTCCAGTTCCCTGTTCCTCAGCATCTCCCCCATAAGACCTATTTCCTCTTGCTCACTGCCCATCAGAGTCATTGGCTCAGGATCTTTTGGTGTCTCATGTCCAACACGGAGATCTGCAGGAGCCTGGCCTAGGATGCCCACACAAATCCTCGTGACACAAACAGAGGTAAGTCATTCCAGCTGTCCCCCAGTCAAAGGCAGGATGCACCAGGGCTCACAGCCCTATTCTGCCAAAGACATCACTGTCCACAGCCTTCCTTTAGATTTAGATTAAGCACGGGTTTCACTGTGCTTAATGGTTGGTTAATCAACATTACTATAAATGAATACGTGAAGCTACCTCATCGGCAGGTGGCAAGTTAACGGAGTTTGAGGAGTAAGACATCAACAAGCCAGAAAGTAGCACCAATGGAGCTTAGGTACTAACTCCTGTGCTATTTCCATGCTGTACAGAGCTCTACAGCAAATCAAAGGACCCCCAGGGTACCTATTCAACAAGGAACAAATTCTCACTTCAGCCATTATGCAAATGAAATGCTAAAAATGTTCTTTTGTTCCTCTGAGGTATTAGTACTACTAATGTGAAGTGCACAAACTTCATAATCATGTAAAATATGGTCTTGTGGTATTTGCAAAGTGCTGGAAGTTTATGGACTACGTCTCTGGGAGACATGAAATGCTCACGGTGCTTTCAATGTCCTTTCGGCAAAGTTCAGACAAGAAGTGTTTCCATAATTTAAAATTCCGTTGTAAGCTGAGACGGGAAATGGCATGCATCTGGCATGTAGCTACTTAGAAATGAAGAGTTAGTATAATAACAATAAATTTAAAAAAAATCTAGTGTATCTGAGCACACATGGTTCCTCCTTTGTGTAACTTATGATTTCCGAGAGCCCTGCCAAAGCTGAGCTGAACTATGAATACCAACTATTTTAGCCTTCAAAATTACAGTGCAGGAAATTCACATCTCTGTATTCTTTCCCCTAGCTGTCACTCAGACTGTTCCTTGTGACAGACCTGAATCCAAAAGCCAGCTTTGGACATTAATTTGACAACAGATGGATCAGATAGATTGGACCCCCACTCTAGCAGCACAAAGCTGGAACACGCTGCTGCGGTGCGTGCTGAATTGCTGCAGTGACTGCCTTACAGCGTCACAGCCCCCTTGTCCTCTGGCTACTGCCACCACTGCTGCATGGGCTGGTGAAGATCTGTCCCACCGTACCCTGTAGTAATGAGGAATTCGCAAGAGGTGCCACTTTCATCTAAGCACCAAATGCCAGCCCAACAGCAGACCACAGAGAATTGCCTCTGAACAAAGCCTTATCTGCTCCCATGGCTTCCACATGTTGACAAAGGTTGATAAAACATCCAAGAGGGATCCTCACAGGAACAAACAATGCTAGAGTTGGATCATCTCTCCCAGAAAATGCATCCATCTTCAGCATGCCACTAATTTCAGTTTCCTCCTGTACCAAACCTTATGCAGAGCCAGTCATAATAAATAAATAAATAAATATTCTAAGTGCCACAACTGCACACAGCGAGACATAAAAATCGTAAGCAAGTGCACTTCTGTACTTCAGAGTTATTCTAACTAGAGCATTAAATGGTCTTAACATAGGAATCAGCAATATTGGACTGTGAAGAGCTCCCTGGGCAGCATGTCCAGGACCCAGCAGGACTCGCCCTAATCCCTCTCATGCCCTTAGGATGCTCCACTGAACAGACATCTCTGATCTTTTATTTGACTGTTCCTACCAAGGCAGTGTCCCAGAACTCCTCGGACAGGAACTTCCCCTGAAAGGAAGCTTTCAGCACCCTAAATTAATTTGTGACAAATATATCCCCTTTTGTTGTCTTGCAAACATTATCCTCAGCTCTTCCCCACCACCTGGGTTTTTGCCCCTTGATGTGCTCATGGAAAGCAAATTAATCCCTTCTCAGTTTTTGTTTTGCTTGGCTAAGGAGGTCGAACTGAAGTTTAAATCTCTTTGTTAGCTAAGGCATTTTAGCTGTTCCTGTTAGTTTTTAAACAGGGATAGAATGATGTGATAGAGCACTTTTCCTGCTACAGTCACAAAGTTAGAAGGACAGCTGGTGAATGAAATACATACAGGATGGTTAACACAGCAACCCAAAGCTGCTTACCTCGTGTAACCAGGTAGGATGGTTGAACAGTGCCAAATGTACCCCTCTTGAAATGGAGAGAAGCCTGCCAAAAAGACATGACTCGCTAATGTAAAATCCCCACATCCAGAGGAAGTTATTTGCGTTCTTGTTACATCTCCTTTGCAGTTAACTACTTCTAATGCTTTTGAACCACAGTGCTGTCTTTGAACACTGGATGTCCTGGACACAGAGACAGACTAATGGACAGCAGGATGCTACAGAGGGAGATCACAGCAGTGTGGTCTCACAGGATGAAATCAGTACTTGCCCAAAAGACATGCACTGGAGCAAATAAGTTTGAGAAGCAAGCAGAGATGCACAGGCACCAGCAAATCACGAGGTCCACATGCAGATGGAAGTTGACAACATGCACAAACGGTGAAGTCAATAAAGAGACAAGAAGACCTATGAAGGACTAAATTCTCATTAGTTTGCAGGGGCCAAATGTTGGCCCCTTTTATTCCAGACTTACCTGGGTGCAATAACTGTGAGATTCACACAGATGGTGAAGGGCAGGCAGAGCCCCATCAGTACGTGACCTGGCAAGGGCTGTGTTTCACAGAGCTCTCAGCTCCACCACTGTAATACAGATGAAAATGTACCATTAAAAATGTTACACCGCTCAGCACTGCCATATATAAAAACGTTTTTCCGAGATACAATTCACTACAAAAAGAGTTGAGTACATTTCTCTGTCACAGCAAGAAAAAAAAAAATATGGGTAGTTAGGTTTAAAGGAGAAGAAAGCATGTGCCCTGCTTTCTGACCCTGGTGTTTGTTTATTGTTTGGATCCTACACCATATTTTTCTTGTTTTCTCCTTCAATTATTTATTAAGGGGAAAAAAAATAAATAAATAAAAAGAGAGAGATGGAGAAGGGTTCTCTGTTCTTGTTTGTGCCACTGCTCATGGCTGCTGCTCTGGGAATACTGCTAAGAGCAGCTACTACAGTTTTATTAAAAATAAGAAAGTATATCGTTATCATAAAATACCAATGTGATCAAAAGGATTACTCTCATATGCCCTTGTCTGAGTTTTAACTTTAAATTAGAGCTCAGATAAAAACAATCTGTAATAGAGCATATGAAGTTTGGAAAAGCTGATATATTTCTACATAAACTGTTCAGTTAATCTTACATATATATTACAAAACCCCACACACGGAAATTGGCAATCTCACATATATTTTTTATACTCAACCTTTTATTCTGTATTTTATAGATGCACAGGGGGCCGATCGGCTTAACTCTATTGACTTTCATAGCGCTGCTCTGGATCCGGCCCCGCTCCCAACGCGATGAAAACCTCCCCCCGGAGCAGCCTCTTGAACAGGAGCACTGCTCCATCTGCTGGGCTCCCGCACGACGGACAGGGACTGGGTGAGGGCTGAAATATTCACCGCGAGCCATATATTAGGAGGCAGATTGATGGCTGGCACTATGGCATTAAATCTGTAAAGTCAGCCAAACGCAGGGAGTGCGCGCTCTGCGCCTACCGAACACGTGCACTGTCCTTCTGGCAGGCACAGGGATGCAAACCACAGCTCCACAAATAAAAGTGATTGCACACAAACGTCCATAACACGTGTTATCAGTCACAAACCCTACGTGATGCTCCGTGCAGACACACACACCTGTGCTGCTGCTCCCGACGTACAGTAACATGTTACATGATCCCTCGCTTGCTGAAACCCACACACACACACACACACACACCCCTGTAACAACCCATTTCCCGACCATCCCCTTTGGTTAAAACATCGTTCCTTGTTTGCAGATAAATCTTTTTCTTATTTTCAGCCCAAAGCACTGAACACTGTTCTCAGCTATTACTAATGACTCTTTTCCATTGCCTGCTCTCTTTCCTAGCCTCTCATATATATATACAGTAGATTACATAGGAAAAACGGACCTGAGGCACAGCCAAACAGATACAGCTTTTCAAGCTTTTGATCTTTCCAAAGCAGGGCAGTAATATCTCTCCCCACACACACAACCCTTTAAAAACAAGTGTAAGTGAGATGACTAAAATGGTGTCTTTCCCTAGCAATGTAACATGGCTTTGCATTGGAACGATCTTTTTAAAAATCCTAACTTAAGAAAAATAAAAGTCCTTGTCTATTTTTCAAAGTACAGTCAATGAATGATTCAGAGAAAAAAAAAAAAAAAAAAAAAAAAAAAAAAAAAAAACACATTTGAATTTCACTTCCCTTCTTATTATACTTTGTTTTATTCCTGCATTTTGAAGAGCTCAACCAGTGCAAGGTATAGGAACTGGTTTCCTGGTTTTGCTTTTATTTTTTAAGCATATTATCACCTTACACTCTATTCACTTTGGAGTCCTTTTTCATTAACACAAAACAGTAACATCTGGATTGCAAATGCTGCAGGGCAATGTTCATTTATGTAAAAAGTCTTCCTGCTGAAAATAAAGACAATAAATTCATTTATGGAGGTGTTTTTCTTAACCCAGCAACTAGCAGAGGCTGAGAACAATACCTGAACAGCAGAACAACAGGACCTGGTGACCTAACCATAACACTCACAGATGTTTTTAAACCTAGAAGTATGAATATTGACAGAAAAATTGTCTGGGAGAATCTATTAAAGGAGGAAGCACTTGCAGCAGCACCGAACGCTGTAGATAAGCAGCACAAGCACTGCCCATCGCAATGCCACACAAACTGAGTTTATTCAGGAGTTCTCAGATCCACAGGAGGAGGATGCCAGGTGGCAAGTGAAGGGAGCTCTGAGGTGATGAAGTGAACTCTTTTTTATGTATCCAGGATGCATAGTAAAGCAGCAATTTTAATACTTATCCCCTGGCATTAAGCATTATATTGATGGAGTGACTTCTTGGTCAGAAGCCATCTGCTGTTTCTGTGGGCAAGAGTCGAAAAGAATTAGCAAAATTGGCTATCAACACGGGAGAAGTTTCATCTGGCTGGGGGTGTTTTCATGAGGCACCAGACCAGCAACAGCACTGAGATGCAAAACAACCCCATTTCTGAAACATACCAGTGTGAGGCATCCTGCTGCCCAGGCCCAGGGGGACGGGGGTGAAACCCACTGCCATCAGCTGCCCTTCGGGATGCAGAAAGCCAAGGTCAGGTCTTTCTGGGAGAACTCCTGGTATTTCCAGGTGTACAAGTGTTAGGCTTTCTGGGTTTATTTCAGACCTGATAAGGAGAGTGGGAGGAAGGAGACATGGCAATTCAAGGAGAACTTGGAAGAAAAGAGAAGATGAAGAGGACAAGGAAAGAAGGTCAGCAGGGATGAAAGGGGAACAGGGTTACCAGGCACTGCCAGTGACTTCAGCAGGAGCAGCAAGAAGTCAGTCAAACAGCAGCTGCAAACCCCTGCTGATGTCTGAGGAATGAGGCGCTGGGGGCCGAGGCACCTCAAGGAGTGGCGGCAGAGGACAGTCAGGATCTTGTGCTGTCCCCAGGGCTGGACGGCAGCAACAGGCCTTGTACCTTGGGGATAGGTCAGGGAGCGTACAGAAAGAGCAAGGTGCTTTCCTCTGAACTAGTTGAAAGCTGAAATTCATCACTCCACCACCTGCCCCGCTCTGGCTTCGGGTCTCTCTCCTCTCTCCCTTGCACCCACCCCAGGAAGAACAGACAGCAGCTTTTAACAGTGGAACAGAGCCTCTCTGAGCGCATGACCCAGCCTCAGGGGCAACAGAAGAAGATAAGAAGCCAAGAAGACGGGCAGCCTGTCAAATTTCCAAGAAGGTCGGCACAGGGGTGGAGGGAGGGCAGAAGACAGGACAGCCTGGCAGGAGCGGCGAGCGCTGCCGCTCTGCTGTCACTGCTGTGGCACTCTGCAGCCAAATCCCTTCGGTTGTCAAACGTGCACTATGCTATTGTTAATGATGCTATTACTTACCATATGTTTAGCAGTATGGCTGGATTTATTCAGCTTATTCAAATGCAGGATTGAACATTTCGGTGTAGCACGCGGCCCCGGACTCATGGGGCTTTTGAACTGTGGGAGAAAGCAAAAGCTATTGCAGAGAAGGGAAAACGTTACTTACTTAACAAGGTCAATAGCATAAATTCTTATTTTGTTTACTTCAGAGAGCACAGAAGCCAGTGTTTACACCCTGTTTCTGTTAATTACTTTCAGAGTAGGCTGCAAAATCTTTTCCTTCCCTACCTAAAATTGTGCTTTATGCTGCTAAGAAGAGCGTCCAGACTTTTCACCCAGGAATGACTGCACTCTGTGGAGAGATAAACTTGTTCTTTTATATTGCCATAGATGGGGTCAAGCTATAATATTCAGAGCCAGTGCTTGCAGGACCTGGAACATTGGTTCAGCCACTTGAAAAGGTAAAGGTTATTTGTAAAATTTAGATTCAGATTCAGCTTTCAAACTTTTCCAAAGATTGGGGCTATCCAGGGAGGAGAGCTTGTTAAGAGCTGGTTTGATTCACTTTATCTCTTAATCGTAGGTGTTCAAAACCTGTAGCTCCCACCAATTCCAGATAAATTTACCTTCCGCATGTTTAAATAGCAAGGCCTGGTAATTGATGAAAGTAGAAGGATGTTCCAGAAAACCTTGTAAATAAATTCTTACTAAGAATCTGACTTGCTTGAAAGAGAAATAAATCCAAGAATTGTCGTGTTTCTCTTTGACTTGCCACTGTGAAACAGATGTTGATATCACCTAGCAAACCCATATGATATTCCCACTGTATTCTTGTCCAACACCATTAATTCCCAAAACCTTCCTTCCTATTACCAGAACTTGCTCTGGTAGTCAGGTGCTCCCAGATTAGACTGTCCTGCAGATGTGGCTGCACTTGCAGAGGAACAAAACATGCAAAGTTCCGTTCTTCCTTGCCAGTGTCATAATCTGGCTCTTCTTCGATGTATTAGCATCTTCTTCATTGTATTAGCACCTTCTAATTTTTATTCCAACAGATCTGCTGACAAACTTGACAGAAAGGAAACACCTTCCTAAATTTACCTTAAAAATACCAGGTTACCAGGAATCCTTAATAAAAATCAGTAAAATTCAGAGTCTGTATAATATGCAAATGATGCCAGCTGATTTGCAGTTTGTTTGTATCATGTAATGGAGAGAAGAGCAAACAAAAAAACTGCAGAAAGGCAACTGTAAGCTTATTACTTTCCAAAGCAGCAAGAAACCTTGAAATATCTCTCCAGCTATTTAGCATCAAATATCCTTCATGTAAGATATTAACTCATCTCAGAATAAACTGTACTAGTTCAATGCCCATGAACGATGCCTTTACTATCCATGGTTTCCAAGGAACAGACATGGCAGTAATTAGTGGGGCATGAAAATCAATTCTGATGACTCAAAAGACAGTCTATGATTGTGGAAGTGACAGTGACTGGAATAACAAGGAACACTTGCATTCAGAACAAGAGACACTCTACCTTTGACCATTAACACATTTGTGTGACACTGTCATTTCAAACCAAACACAAAGTATCTCAGAGACATATAACACTACTCCTGAAAAAAAGGGCAAAAGGGGCAAAAAGAAAAAAAAAAAAAAGTTGAAAAGTTGAATCAGTGCTGCAATGCTGCAATGCCAGTGCCTGCC